AAAAAAAAAAAAGAATAATGATCCTTGAACAATCAAACAACAAACATTAATAACAATAAATATATATAACTAACAGATTAATTGTATAATTTCTCAACAAACCTTGGTTTTGAAGAATACCAGACTGATCCAATCCAAATGTTCCTAAATTTAGTGCTGCTGAAGCTGTTATATCTAATAAAATATGAATTTTATAGTTAAATATGCATAAGAAATTAAATTTTAAAATATTTGTATTATTCACTTACTTAACCCTACAAATGGATTAGGACCAGTAGTATCTGGACGAGATGTAAAGAAACTAGATGAACTTGGATTTTGATTCAATTGAAAAATATTTGTATGGTCATTTAATATTTCTCTGCGGAAAGACAAATGCCTTGCTTTTAACACTTGAACTTCATTATGTATACCATGCAAATGACCAGCTAATGCAATTACATTCTTGTAATACATTTCCCCGATTCTTCTTAACTCTAACATGTAATATAGTTTAGAAACCTAATAATAGACTCATATAAAGATATTTAAGCATACCATCCACCGTTACATTGTTATTATAAGGCAATGTTGCTAAATATTGTTGAGTATTCTCAATTTCATTTTTTAATATGTTTCCTTTCTCTTGCAATGATTTGATTAGCTCAGCAAAGTATTTTATATTAGACTCCATATCTGTTTGAACCATTGCTGGATGATCATGATTACGTTGAGCAATTTCGAAATCTTGTAAACACTATGTATAAATAATTCCAATAAATAAAAATCACCAATTAATTTTAAATAAATATAATCTAAACTATTTATATACCTTATTGGTTTCATATTTTAACTTTTCAACAGATGTTTTTTGTTTATCTAAATTATGTTCTATAAACTGTAGATTTTTTTGGCACAATGTTATATCCCCTGCTACTTCATTTGAACCTTTAGATGACATACGTGCCAATTCGGTGCTCATTGTTTTTTGTTGCTTAAGAAAATCTCTGTAAAGACAGTTAAAATACTTCATTAAACATATCTTAACATTGTATTGTATATTTGATTGTGTTGATGATACACAACACATATCATATAACATTGATATACATTTTTTGCACACATTAATATCAAATTACAGCAATTTAGCACTTTTATCACTATGTTGTGTTCACAA